CCCATGAGCAGTACATGGTTTTTGGTTTTGTTTTGTTTGGTTGGTTTTGGTTTTTTGAGACAGAGTTTCTCTGTGTAGTTTTGGTGCCTGTCCTGTGTCTTACTCTGTAGACCAGGCTGGCCTCTAACTCACAGAGATCCACCTGGTTCTGCCTCCCGAATGCTGGGATTAAAGGCATGCGCCACACCTGCCTGGCCACAGTACATAGTTTTAAGGCACATAGTCATACACAGTCCTATATATCCATATATGTATATACACACACTTCAGAAATGCCACGCAATGTATATTGGTCATTATTCGTCTTTTCGCTTTTCCCAGATCAGCCCCTACCTCCCTATCCTCCCCAATTTGTTTCTTCCCTTTTTAAAAAATTAATTAATCAATTCCAATTTGTGCTGTCCACATACTCCTAGGTGTGGGGTCATCCAGTGGATCATGGTTGACCTGCCAAGGGCTATACAGCCTTAAAGAAAGCTAGACCTCCACCATCCAGAAGTTTTATCAAATATTAGTAGTTCCTAGGTAACTTCGTTTGGGATTTCATAGCCACCTACCCCTCTCTATTCTGGGATTTTGTCTGGGATGAAGATTAATTCTGTATATTTAGATTCCCACTTGCCCCCAAACATCTGATTGGACAGACTATCCTTCCTGCACCAGTTAGCAGTGTGTGTTTTTCCTTAAATCAGGCATCGGTTTTAGTGTGGGCTGATTCTGTCTTCTCTGCTCTGTCCCTTCAGCTATGCTTGTCGACAATACTTAATTTCTATAGCATTATAATAAATCTTGTCCAGTAGTGAAGACCTTTCATTTTTCTCCTTCAACATTTTCTTCCATACTCTTGGCATTTTTCACTTCCAAATAAAATTTAGAACTAACTTGCAGACTTTTATACCAAAGAAACCTGCTAGAATTAAAATTTTTGAAGTGTATTCAATATATTGATCAATTTTGGAGAGCTGTCTTGCATATTTTAATCCATTAATGTAGATTCTAACTCTTAAATTCATTATCCCAAGTCTTTAATACATTAGTGTGTTGTGGTGCTCTGTTCATTTAGGTTTCTCCAACATTCTTAGATTTGATGTGCATTTGTGATGTACACATGGGTGCATGTGTGTCTGCCAGTACCTGTACCTATGTGTGCATGTATGGAGGCCAAAGGTGGACACCGGGTGTCTTTCTCTCTCACTTTCCACCTTTTTTTTTTTTTTTTTTGAGACAGGTTGACTCAATGAACTTGGAGTTCATTGACTGGCTGCACTGGCTGGTGATGAGCCCCCAGGGTCTTACTGTCTCTGCTTCCAGTTACTTAGATCATAGGTAGGAACCTCTGTGCCTGACCTTTACACGGAGGTACTGGGGATCCAAATTCACATTTCCATATTCTCTTTGGCAATCATTTCACACTCTGAGCCATTTCCCCAGTCCTACATTGTGAGATTTTGATACAATGGTTTTGCACATTTTTAACATATTCCTACACATATTTGAGGGGATCAATTAATATTTTTAAATATTTTTTATTTTTAATTTTATTGTTAATAATTGTGCATTCTTATGGGGTATGCTATGATAATTAGGTACACATATACAATTTGTAATTATCAAACCAGAATGATTAGCATTTCCACTTCCCTAAACACTTATTTTTTTGTTAGTGTGTGATAACTGTACATATTTGTAAGATATAATATGCTACTTCATTACATATATGTAACAGGTATTGGTCACATTTTCTAATTGTTTGGAAACAGAAACTTGGAAACAATTTTCTAATTGTTTATATGGGTGTAAATGAATACATTTGTATTCCCAATGGTTTTGCTTTCAAAGTACATACTTGTGGAATCTGAAGATAATCTTTTCATCAACTCTAATCTTACTCTTTTTTTCTTGTTTGTTTGCCTTTTTCTGACTTGCTGAGCTGGTCAGAACATGCAACAATTCTTCATGGCAAGAGTTTCATGCTGACTCAGTCCCAGTCTTGGTGTGTGTCTCAGCCTGTGCTCTGTTGCTGTGAGGAGACACTGTGACCATGGCAACTCTTATAAGGGAAAACATTTAATAGGGGCTGACTTATAGTTTAGAGGTTTAGTCCATTATCATCATGGCAGGGAGCATGGCAGTGTGCAGGCAGACACGGTGCTGGAGAAGGGGCTGGGAGTTTTACATCAGGATCTTTCCTCTTGTGGGACTCCTAACAGTGGGAGAAGGGGCTATCTCCAACTCTTTTCCTGGCTTTTGGGACCCTACTCCTATTGGGTCACCTTGCCCAGCCTTAATAATCAGGGAGGTGCTTAGTCTTACTACAAATTGATAAGCCATATTTTGTTGATACTCATGGGAGACCTGACCTTTCCTAAACAGAAATGTAGGAGGAGTGGATGGCTGGGGGCAGGGGGCGCGGAACATACAGAGAAAGGGTGGGAGGGAGGAACTGAGAGGAGAGGAGGGAGGGGAAACTGTGGCCGGGATGTAAAATAAAAAGGATCCACAGGCAGCAGGAAGAGAGTGTGACATTGAGACTGGCTTGAACTTCTGAAACTTCAAAGCCTGCCCCACAGTGACACACTTCCTTCAACAAGGCCACACCTCCTAATCCCTCTCAAGTAATGCCATTCCCTGATGACTAAATATTCAAATATATGTGACAATGGGGGCCATTCTCATTCAAACCACCATAGTGTGGATTCTTACTCTCAACACAAAGTAAGCATTTACTATAGTGTTTACATACTTTTCATTACATGAAAATCCTTCTTTAAAATACAAAAAAATGCTTTATCTTGGGTGCTCAATTTTGTCAAATGTATTTTTTTGCATATTTTTATGTGCTTATGTTTTCTTCTTTATTCAAATAATGAAATTAATTTCAATGGTTTCTTTAAATAAATTATTATTTCTCTGAGAAATATATGTATTTTGATCATATTAATCCCATCTCCTCACAGATCTGCCCCATCTCCTTACCTCTTCTCAACTTTGTGTCTTTTTATTATTGTTAGTTAATAACCGATTGGTTCCAATTTGTGCTGTCCATAGACTTGTGTGCTTCTATTAGTCCTTTTTAAATAGACTTATTTGTTTGTTTTGAGAAAGGGTGTTGTGTAGGCCAGTCTGATCTCAAACTTGTTATGTAGTTAAAGATGGCCTTGAACTTCTGTTCTCCCAGCCTCCAAAATGCTAGGGTTACCATTACACCTGGTTTATGTGGTGTTGGAGATCGAACCCAGGGCCTTGTGCATGCTAGGCAAGTACTCTACCAATTGAGATACATGCCTTAAGGATTGTTTCTTTCTTTTTTCTTTTCTTTCTTTTTCTTTTTTCTTTTGGTTTTTCAAGACAGGGTTTCTCTGTGTAGCTTTGCACCTTTCCTGGAACTCACTCTGTAGTTCAGGCTGGCCTCGAACTCACAGAGATCCGCCTGCCTCTGCCTCCTGAGTGCTGGGATTAAAGGCGTGGGCCACCACTGCCCGGCAAAGGATTGTTTCTTAAATGTTAAAACTACAACTGAAATGTTAAACATAACTTGTCTGCAATTCATTATCATTGTCTGTATCTCTGCAGTGCTATATTACTTTTTCCTTAGCGTTTGTGCATGCTTATTAATGTAAGCAGTTGGCTACATGTGTTCTTGGTTTTATTTAAACTTTCCCATGGCGGCAGCAATGATGACAAGCTTCTTCCCTGGATGATAGAGGATCCACTATAAATCTTTTTTAATTAGTAAATTAGTGTGGTAAGGTTACAGAGTATCAGATCACTATAAAAGATCAACTCTGCTTTTATACACTGAACTGTTCAACATGAAATCAAGATAAACACATCTACAATGGCAACAAAATGAATAAAATACTTAGGTCTAAACAAGTGGAACACAACTAAAAAATATATTTGAAATATATTAAACGAGACATAAGTAAATGGAAAGGCTGTGCACGTTTGAGGTTCAGAAAACTTAAGACCGTTCACATGACCCTGCATCCATCTACAGAGTCTGCACAGTTTTCCTTACAAATTGTAGCTAGCTCATCTGTGGAAACTGGTGGAACTGATCCCCAAACCCATGTGTGATGGAGCCAGAAGACACAAAGCGACCTTGAAAAAGAGCAGTTGGAAGCCGGGTGGTGGCGGCGGCGCACGCCTTTAATCCCAGCACTCGGGAGGCAGAGCTAGGTGGATCTCTGTGAGTTCGAGGCCAGCCTGGTCTCCAAAGTGAGTTCCAGGAAAGGCGCAAAGCTACACAGAGAAACCCTGTCCCGAAAAACAAAAACAGAAAAAGAGCAGTTGGAGGACTCACTTCCTTATCTCAAAGCTTCTTCTTCTTTTTTTTTTTTTTTTTTGGTTTTTCGAGATAGGGTTTCTCTGTGTAGCTTTGTGCCTTTCCTGGAACTCACTCTGTAGTTCAGGCTGGCCTCGAACTCACAGAGATCCGCCTGGCTCTGCCTCCCGAGTGCTGGGATTAAAGGCATGTACCACCACCTCGTTTACCATGTTACCATAGTAATTGAGGTAGTATCATACTGTGTTACTAGTTTGGCAGAGTCTGGCTTCTGTAGATTTCTACCTGATTTCCTCCTTTCAGCTGTCGGACCATCGGCTCAAAACTGTCTAGCGGCAAACCTCAAGGTCTTACACATCCATTGCATTAAACACAGCCAAGGTAGACACATTTTAAACTATGTGGAGACTGCTCGTGTGACGTTAAGTCTGCACCCAACACCTACCGTCCATACAGACAGACTCGGTAGCAATTAAAAGCCCAAACTTCTGTACTCCGGAGCTCCCTAATGCTGAGACCCCTTCACTCCCCTACACCTCCACCCCTTCTCCCCTTCCCTGCTGAAGAAGAACATTGTGTTCTCCAATCACCTGTCCCCTTTGGCTAGTGACCTGCGGCTGTGAGGGCCCTCTATGTGAAACACTGCCATCTTGTGGCCTGCAGTTTCCGCCATAGAAGGCATGAAGTTAGCACACAAATCAATGAGAAAGGGTTAAGCCTTCATAAATAAGCTTTAATATTATGGCCAATTGATTTCTGACAAGGATGTCATGACAGTTTGAAGGGAAAAGGATAATCTTTTCAAGAAATAATGATAGGACAACTCAGGAATCACATACCATATACAAAAGTTTACTCCAAAATGGTAATGATTCTAAATATAAAAGGATGAAGACTAAATACTCAGTAGAAAACAACAGTAAATCTGTGTGGCTTTGTGATTTGTTTTATAAGACACTATAGTTGAAGGAGAAAATGGTAAATTAAATACCAGCAAAATGTTTGTGCTAAAATTAACACCACCAGGAAAGTAAAAAGTGCACCGAACGAAGGAAAATACTTATTTTACTCGCACTTCATTTAATTGCATGCTGGGGTAATTTTATCGCAAAGAGCAGCTTAGCATATGTATATTTACTTATCTGAAATATTCTTAAAGAGATAAATCCTACCTTTTCTGCATGATTTTTCCCTTTATATTGCATTTTTATTATTTAAGACAATTTTAACATTAAATATATTTTTGTCATATTCTCCCCTGAAGTCCTCCCAGACCCTCTCCCCCTCCCTATCCACCCAAATTTAAGTTCTTTCTCAAAAAACAATCAAAACTCCAAATAAAAAAATTCCCCAAAACCAAGAAAACAAAATAAAATACTACCCCAAAAGAAAAGAAAACGCACCAAAGTGTAACCAAATAAATGCACGTGCGCGCGCACGCGCACGCACACACACACACACACACACACACACACACACACACACACACACACACACACACACACACTGTGGGGTCTATTACATGTTATTCAACTTCTCCTGAAGATGTTTTTCCTAAGTCTGTCCTGCACCTCTTATGCAGCTCCTAATTCATTCTCTCTCTCTCTCTCTCTCTCTCTCTCTCTCTCTCTCTCTCTCTCTCTCTCTCCTCTCTCTCTCTCTCCTGGCAAGGCTCTGTAGGTCCTTTTAATATGTTCATGTAATCTTTTTCTTTCAAATAAAATTCCTTCCAGTGCTGGGGTTAAAGGCGTGTGCCACCACACATGGCTTCTTTTTGTTTGTTTGGTTGGTTTGGTTTTGTTTTTATTTTGTTTTGTTTTTGTTATCTACTAAATTTCTTCTTCCAATTGACCTTCAGACTGTGATTTTATTTTCAAAGACAGAAAAAGGAAGTTCTCTACTCTTCTGGACTATCTAGAGCAGCTCTTTCTTAGCCATGGACACTAAAAATGTTGCTCACCCGCCCAGGAGAATCCTTCCTTTCACCTGTGCTCCATCTGAGATGGTTCTCTTGCATAACCAAGGGCTGAGAGATCTGCTTTGGGAAGGGAATACATCTTGTAATGGCAGCAATCTGAAGAGAGTTGAGACACCTGGTCCCTCAGAGAACCACAGTCATCTGGGCTGTCTTGTTTTGTCTTGGACTATGGTCTTGCTACTAAGCACAGGCTGGCCTTGAACTTACCATCTTCCTGCCTCCTCCTCCAAAGTTCTGAGTCTGACTACACACCCAGCACCATCTGGGCTTTTAATCTCTGGTCTCTGAGAGGATGAAGCAAGATCCTCTGAGATTAATTTATCTTCTCCCTGAAAGATCCTGTTAAGTTCCGTAGTCTCACACGTGGCCAGATGGCTCTGCCAGTTAACAGGCTCTTTCCTGATGCTCACACTTAGACTTAAGCTCATAGTACTTTGAAAATCTGTGTTAAATGTCAGTGGCTTTATGCAGTACTTAAGATTTAGGAAATCATGAGTAAAGACACTCTGGGTAAAGCCTTGAAGAATATATTTCATGATAAACTATTGTATGTATGTATGTATGTATATATAGTTGACATTGGAAGAGATCAAAGGAATCAATTTAGAGGGAATTTAATTGGTAAAGAAAGAACCATGTTTCCAGATCATCAGTCTTTCAGGGATATTTCATAGTTCTCTGTGCCAGATACTGAAGTAGACAGCAGAAGGACAATAAAGCATTGTCTAGTCCTACCTCAGGGGCCACGTTATCTAGTGGAGGATGGGAAAGTATATATACTTGGACTCCACAGTATTACAATATACTATACAGTGGGTCAATGGTGACATCTCACATTGTATATCCATCGGGAGCCCAGAATGTGACCTCCTTTGGCTGTAAGGTCTTGGTGAACATCACCAGTTCAGAAGAGGCCCTACTTGATTAGGCTGACATCTAATGACTTGTCCATAGAAGGAGAAGAGAAAGCACGGGTGTACTCAAAGGTCATGGGGGCAGAGATCAGAGTTAAGATGTGTGTATTAGGCAGGGTTCTCTAGAGGAACAGAGACGGTTAGAGTGGCTTACAGGCTGTGGTCCAGCTAGTCCAACAATGGCTGTCTCCTAGTGCAAAATCCAATCATCCAGTAGTTAGTTGTTTGGTCCATGAGGCTGGGGGTCTCAGCTGGTCTTCAGTGTACATCAGAATCCTGAAGAGGTAGGCCCTGATCCTAGTGAATCAAGACCAAGGGCAAGTAGACAGAGAACAAGAGCTTCTTTCCCTGTGCCCTTTATAAAGGCTGCCATGAGGCAGAGTGACCCAGTTTTATAATGGTTCTTCTGACCTCAATGATCCAGTTAACTAAACATCCCTCACAGGTGCGCCCAGCAACTTGGATTTTTAGTGAATTCCGGGTGTAGTCAGGTAGGCATTGGAGAGCAGCCATCACAGTGTAGAATGGTAAGGACAGTTCTGGAACACCTGGGACTTGGGCACACAGGAAGAAAAAATTTTCCAAAGCCTTCAGAAGGACACCTTGATTTCAGGTGTCAAGCACCCAGAACTAGACAAGAAGTGTTCTAACCATCCAGTTTGTGTCTGGATGAATTCAGCTTTTGGCATTGGGACATGTAGCTCCGTCTATTGGTTTCTGCAGAGGCTGGGGAAGCCCCTGGGTAAGACAACGGGGAAGGAAGCTACAAGAGATGAAGCTAGTTACTAATGTGTCCTACAGTGGAGAATTTGACAACTCTTTTCCGGACCCTGCAGGGTCTTTCTGACACTAATTCCTTTCATCCTACTTTGAATATTTCTCCTTTGGTTTTCACTGTCTTTGTTACAAAAAAAAAAAAAAAAAAAAACACCTGTCATCATCAGTGGCACGATGGCCTCTGTAAAATACCAACGGACTGGCTCTCAGCTGACATGTCACTGATGCCTCAATCATGATCATATTGATGAATGTGCCGAAAATGTATCACCGTCCATCCGAACCAATCATGTTTGTATGGAATGCTATCCCCATCTCAGTCTTTTGCAATGCTGTCAGCCTCCCTCTGAAAAAGAAAAGGAACAGGAAGAAGTATTTTTACACATGGAGGACACCTATTTTAAGTGCTTCAACCTTCATAATACGTAAGTTAAAAAGTGATCGTGGATTATATGTAAATCATTAACATTCTTTAAGTTTATTTTTATTTTATGTATGAGTGCTATGCATATATACCTGCATACCAGAAGAGGGCATCAGATCCTATGATAGATGTGAGCCACCATGTGGGTGCTGGGAATTAAACTTAGGTCCTCTGGAAGAGCAGCCAGTGCTCTGAACTGCTGAGCCATGTCTCCAGACCCATCATTTACATTCTAACAAGTAAAAAACACTACTAAAGTCACAGGTTCCTGTCTTAGTTAGGGTTTCTATTGCTGTGAAGAGATACCATGACCACAGCAACTCTTAATTGAGGTGGCTTACAGTTCAGAGGTTTAGTCCATTGCCATCATAGTGGGACATGGTGGTGGGTGGGGGCTGCAGAGGTAGCTGAGGGTTCTATATCTTGCAAGGCAACAGGAAGGGGTCTGACACACTGGGCATAGCTTGAGCATGTATGAGAACTCAAAGCCTGCCTTCACAGGGACAAACTTCCTCCAACCAGATCATACCTATTCCAACAAGGCCACACCTCCTAGTGGTGCCACTCTCTTTGGGAGCCATTTTCTTTCAAACCACCACAATTCCCAAATAATCTACGTTAGGGATATTATAAAATACAGACATACATACTAAGAATGATCCTGAAAACTGAACTATCAATAGTGTTAAAATGATTAAATTGCGCTAATATTTTATTCAGTTGGTTATTATCACCTTTCCTGGGATTGGAGTTATCAAATAAAACAAATAAATACATGATGCTCAGTTAAATTTGAATTTTAGATAAACAGTTCAATTTTAAAGTAATATATATATATATATATAATTGGCACCTCTGCCCCTTTGTCATTGTTGAAATATGTGGATTCTGAAGGTAGGATCAAGCCTAGTTTGAAAAGATGAACAATTGCATCCTGACAGTCTGCTCTTGGGGCAGTGATAGACCACTGTGTGATATCTCTGCCCATAGCCAGACCAGTGGCCTCTGTGTCTAATCAGACATACCATCTCAGACAGTCTCCCTGTTGCTCTGGACTTCAATGTCTTCATCGATACAATAGGAGCAGGAACTAGATGGCCTCAAGAATCTTTCACATTTGACACTCATGATTAAATTTAGAGTCCAAATTGCGAGGGACATCTCCTTGTTACCTCCTAAGAGTATCCACAGCTCTGAGCTGAGCCCATAGACACAGAAGGGATGTCAACCTGTAAGGACTGGTGGGAATAACCATGACTCTGAGTCACAGGGACCATTTTCCCTACCCAATACCCATCATCATTAAATAACTCAACAGTGTTGGTATTCTTTAGTGTTGAGTTGATATTGAAAGTCTATCGCTTCCTAGTTATTTGTTTGAAGCCTGTCTTGCCTTTCTCCTTATCAACTGGGAACATACGCAAATTCAAGAACACCCATTGGTTACCTCCAATTGTTCTCTCTGGAAACTAAGCAGGATCCAGAAAAACAGGCATATCATAAGAACCCAGTTGGTCTAGTCCTTGAACAATGACAAACTAACTAGATACATTTAGTCCCTTGTGTCCCTTCCCTTGAGTTTTATAGCACTGGACTGAAAGAATATACTCAACCATTTTCTGAGTACAAGGTGTACCTTATTGCACAGATGAATCACTGAGCTTTTCACTCCAGTAGCCTGTTCCATATGCTTTAGTTTAAATTTGTTGGGATGACACAGATGTTGAGCAATGTGGTAGTTTGATATCCCACATATTCTGAAGCATCTGAATACTTGGGCCCTAGTTGGTGGCCCTGTTTGGGTAGGTTTTGGAGGTGTGGCCTGGCTGGAGGCAGCGCATCACTGGGGACAGGCTTTAAGGTTTCAGAGGACTGGTACTATTCCCGATTTTCTCTCTTTGCTTCCTATTTGCAGCTGAAGATGTAACATTTCAGCCGCTGCTCCACCTGCCACGTCTGCCTGCTGACGTGCTTCACCGCCAGTGGAGAGGAACTGTTATCCATCTGGAATGGCAAGCTTCGGAGGAATTGCTTCCTTCTGTAACTTGCTTTTGTGGTGATGTTTCATCTAAACTAGTGAAAAGTAACTAAAACAGGCATTGACTGTTTCCCCCTTACTGTCCCCTTGGACACTATGGTAGGGCCATGTAAATGCAAAATGAGCAAGTAGTTAACTGTCTACAGAGGGTAGAATCCGCTCAAACCAACGGAATGGAGCTTGGATCTGAATGGCTTCCACAGTGCCAGATATTACACAGAAAGAAACTTGTCATTAAAAAAAATCTCACAAGGGTTCTAGTTTATCTACATTTTTGCTTGGGGGTGGGGGGAGGTTTCAATATGCCTGAGGGTCACCCAGCCAGAAAAAATAGTTGGAAGTTTAAACTTGAGTGAATAAAATTTTGAGGCTCGTATGATTTTCATTGTCTGTAAGAAAAAGCAGCATGAGACAAAAAAAAAAAAAATCTTCATCAAATGAAATTGGTTAAAGGACTAGAAGAAATCTAAGGTGCTACAGGCCTCCAGTGAAAGACGCCTAAATTGAGGAAAGACAGAAGATGAATTGGCTGCATGCCAAAAGACGTACGGTTACAGTAAAAGAGAGAGAAACAGGGGAAGCAGAATAGAGTGGCCCAGGGGTAGCTAGCTAACTGGCTCACCTAACTTATAGTCCTTTCCCAGGGATCATGGGTTATGGGTACTTTAGATGGTCCATTCCAGCAGTGAGGCCTTTGGTCCATTGCAAATACAGTACCTCTGTTTGCTAACTGTTGGTCTTGAGTGCCCATGGGACAGAAGAGCCAGAAGACAGTAATCTGCACAGCCTCTCACTGCCCGGGTTATGCTGGCCAAGAGCTGAGCTCCTGAGTTGTCATTTTCCACTTCTAAAGTATCACTACCCCAAATCTGACAGTGTTTTTCACATGTTGGGAATTCAAGTGAATATATATATTCACTTGAATATATATATATATATATATATATATATATATATATATATATATATATATATATATATATACATGTAAATTACATGGCAAAAAAATGCAATGGGTGTTTCTACAATGATCTGATGAAGGCATCACTGTTCTTCTGAGTCTGAAGGTGTAAGAGACAGGAAGACTGGGATGCAGAGAGCACTGGAGATAATTTGGAGTTGAATTCAGCCTGGCTGCTGTTGTGCATGATTTTGGAAACACTTGATTAATGTCCTTTCTAGTCATCGAGGAAACAAATCATTCTGTGAATCTCGGTTGCATTTAACACCTCCACAATAAAAATGAGGAATTTCACAGGAAGTAATGATTTACTTGTGGGGAGACTGAGAGGGTTTTCTGACCAGGTTTTTGAAGTTGACAGCAGAAGATAGAGGGGCATCCTACAGTGAGTTGTTCCAAGTGGAAAGGACCACGCTTTTTGTAGAAACATTGGGCGAGCAATTTGTGTGGGGAGAAAGTAATAGCTAAGGCAGAAAATGACAAAGGACAACTCAACCAACAATAGGTGCCCTGTGGTGTCGCCAAAGCTGGAATGGAGATTACCTGCTGTGGCTTCTGATTGGTCAGCTCCCCTATGATTGCATGGATATAAAGACAAGTTGGCTTAATGGGACCAGGTCAGAGAATTTACGAGTTGGCACAAATAAATAAAGAAGCTGAATAGAACACTAAATAATTGTTTCTATTTCCTGTCTAATCGCCTTCCCAAATTTACATTTGGTCATAAATCATGAAATATAAACAATATATGAATTTCATAGGTACTATGCAGATTTGAAACACAAAATATAATTCACATTTTTCCTGAAAAATTTTGAAGCTGTGTTATTGGATGTCCCTCTGTAGATTTTATCCCACTGCAGAGGATACACCAAGTTCCCACTTGCTGCCTGATTAATGTACAAGAATTATTTCTGGCTGAACTCTCTAAATAGTTTTAGCTTCCACAGAGTACTAAGGCATATCAAGATACATGTGAAATGTTTTCAATTCTTGTGCTGAGGAACATTTCAAATTTTCTGTCTTGGGAAATAGAGGCTTGTTTGGGGCCAGGAGAGAATCTTGCCATTCATTTCAAACAGTACAGTTTGCTTCCATCCAAATACTGATAGGAGAAAGTCCTTTTCACATGAGAAATGTAAAACAAACCTGGGCAAACAAATACTATTTTAAAAATGTGAATGTTACCTACTGCTCTTGCAGTACAACCAAGTTCAATTCCCAGCACCCACACGGTGGCTCACAACCATCTGTAACTCCAGGTCTAATGACCTCTTCCTGGCCTCTGTAGGCACTACATGCATGTGCTGCACATAAGTACACTCATTCATAAAACAAAAATAATTCCAGTCTAGGTCATGCATTAGTTATTACTAGTCTACATACACATTCCAAAGTCCTCACCATTTCTTCTCTGAAGCATCACTAGGACCTTGCCTGGCATTTAACTATATACTTATTAACTTAATAAGGAACTACTTTATACTCAGCCCCAATATGGTACACCTTTGTAAAATAAAATTTTAATCCCTTCTTTGAAATTCATGTACACAGAGTATTTGATAAGTCCACTCTTCAGAATACCTCCCTCCAAGTCTCCCTGGAAACCCCCTCTCCAATTTATATCTGTCCCCACTTCGTGTCTTTTTTTGTTCATTTTTAATTAATGTCTTGGGTCCAGTTAGTGTTATCCATATACACACCAGTGTGAGGCCATTTTTTGGAGCATGGACAACCTACCAATGGCCAGATCTGCCCCCCCCCACACACACATACACCCCAAAGAGGATCTCCATCCACCAGCAGTCATCAACTGCCAATAGCTTCTCTGCTACAGTCGAGGCTTTGGGAGGCCCCTCTTCGATTCATACTGGGATTTTGACTGGCTTGATTTTGTTCAGGTCTTGGGCTTGCAACCACAGCTGCTGTGAATTGATGTATGCACCACCCATGTTATGTCTAGAAGACAGTATTTCTCAGCTCTCCTCCCCATTCTCTGGATCTTACATTCTTTCTACCCTTTTTTCCATGATCCCCCAGGAGCTTTGCTTGGGATGGGGAGTTGGGGTGGGGACATTCTTATGGATGACTCATCTATGGCTGAATATCCACAGTTACTTACTGAGGGAAACCAGCCCCCCCCCCATACTCTTAAGCAGGGAGAAATTAGGAATAAGGAGAAAGAAAGAGAGAGAGAGAGAGAGAGAGAGAGAGAGAGAGAGAGAGAGAGAGAGAGTAACACAGGGTAGCCTCAGGAGGGCCTGGGTAAAAATCCACCAGCCCCTCCTGTCTGTTCTAAAGGACTTTTAAAGGAATGCCAAGGGGTGGAGCAAAAGACCTCCCCCTAGCACAGCCAAGTGCAGACTATCCCAGAGACCTGGTGACATGCACTTGGTCAAGCCATCCCCTAATGCAGCCCTGCTATGTAAAGCAAGCTCGGATCTCACTAGGATACCTCTGTGGACTCCCACAACTTATTACCAGCACTTTGACAAGTCATGGGTCATGGCTTTAATTATTGCCTACTGTAAAAAGAGCCTTCTCTGGTCAAAGCTGAGAGCAGCACAAATCTATAGATATAAACATAAATATTTAAAGTCAGCTTGACAACATGACCATTTAGTGAAACCTCATCAGTAGCTTCCTTCCCAGGGATCTATGATCTCCTGAGGGGTTTCAGTACCAGACATGAAATCAATTTGCTACATCCTCTTGCAAGATCCTTGTGTTCTTGTGAGAAAACATTTCCTTTACCATCCTAATTCCCCCACTCCACACCAATCCTAAATCACAATCTCCTCGAGTACAAGGATTCTATCTGTCTGATTCGTGGCTACATCCCAGTCTCTCATGTGTCGCAGGTACTCATCATGCATTTATGGAGTAAGTAATTGGACTAAAGCAGACAGACCTCTCCCTGGAAAGGCCAAAATTCCTCCCAGGAAAGAGAAATTCAGCACCTGAGCCAGCAACTACAGAGAGCAGTGCAGTGCCAGTGAGGACCCTGGCTGTGCGAGTCCTTGAGACAATGATCACAGTTTAGTGTTTCCTGTCCCTGAGATGGAAACTGTAAATATGTGGGAGTGTGGCAACGGTCAAATTAGACGACAAATGTTTGAGTACCATAAATGGAAGGCAAACATAATGCAAGTTTGGGGCATTGCTGAGGGCATGTTCAGTACCACATCCATTATGAAACATTTGAATGTTACACTCCAGATATGATGATTCTCAATCGCACAGATAGCGCAAAATAAAGTGGGCATCAAAGAAAATAGAGTGGGCATCAAAGAAAAACTACATATGATAAAGTGCGTGTCTTCTCCTTACTCCTCACCACTCACATCCTCCCCCCTTACACCTTTCTTCCTTTTCTCACCAAGGGATTCACAGATTCCTTGGGCTGAAAATATCCTTCTATTTGCTATCTCTATAGCTGAATACACTCTCACCTATTCTGAAAATTGGAATTTTCATTTGCTTCCATTTGTTTTAGAGATATGCTTGGCTTACCAATGTATTTGCCTTAGATGGTGAGCATAGCCAAGGGTGGGAATACTTCAATAGACTCTGTGCTGGGTAGTTTTATGTCAACTTGACATAAGCTGAAGTCATCTGAGAAGTGAGAATCTCAATTTAAAATATACCTCCATGAGATCAGGCTGTAGGCAAGCCTGTAGGGCATTTTCTTAATTAGTGATTGATAGGGGAGGGCCCAGTTCATCATGGGCAGTGCTATCCCTGGACTATGGTCCTGGGTTCTACAAGAAAGCAGGCTGAGCAAGCCATGGGAAGCAAGTCAGTAAGCAGTACCCCTCCATGGCCTCTGCATCAGCTCCTGCCTCCAGGTTTCTGCCCTGTTTGAGTTCCTGTCCTGACTTCCTTTGATGATGAACAGTCATATGGAAGTGTAAGCCAAATAAACCCTTTCTTCCCCAATTTGCTTTTGGTCATGGTATTTCATCACAGCAATGGAAACTCTGACTAAGACAGACTCCTATAATCTATAGTATTCTACAACTCTTAGAGACCCATGCAGAATGCATGGATTGTGGGAAACAAAGTTGACCCACAGCAGCTGACATGTTGGTTGTACAGGCTTTCCCTACCTGTTTATCATTTTTAAAAATCTATAATAGGTATATTTCTTTTGAAAATGTAACAGGTTCAGCTGGGCATGGGGTCACATTCCTATAATTTTAGTACTTAAAAGACAGAGGCAGGAGGATCCAGAGTTCAAGGTTATCCTTGCTAACAAATTAGTTTGAAGCCTTACTGTGCTACTTGAGGCCCTACTTTAAAAAATTAAAGAATTAGCATAACAATTATTAATATATTCTTATATATTATATATAAGATTTATTAAAGTGGCTTACAGGTGCCAGGTGGTAGTGGTGCACACCTTTAATCCCAGCACTCAGGAGGCAGAGCCAGGTGGATCTCTGTGAGTTCAAGGCCAGCCTAGTCTACAGAGCGAGATCCAGGACAGGCACTAGAACTACATGGAGAAACCCTATCTCAAAAAAACAAAAAAAAACAAAAAAAAAAAAAGTAGCTTACAGGCTGTGGTCCAACTAATCTAATGGCTATCTACCAATGGAAAGGTCCAAGAATCCAGTAGCTGTTCAGTCCATAAGGCTGGATTTCTCAGCTGATCTTCAGTATATGTCAGAATCCTAAAGACATAGGTTCTAATACCAGTGAAGGAGTGAATTTGCCAGTGAGAGCAAAGGCAACCAGACCAAGAGCAAGCACTTTATTCTTTCATGTCCTTTATATAGGCTGCCACAAAAAGGTGGGGTCCAGATTTAAGGTAGATCTTCCCACAACAAAAGATCCGGACTAAAGGTGGGTCTTCCCACTTCAAATCATTTAATTAAGAAAAATCCTTCACAGATGTACATAGCCACTTGAGTTTTTGTTAAGTCCAGAGTCAAGTTCTTGACAACCAAGAACAGCCATCACAATTTGGAAGCATTCTATATTATATCTGTAACATTTCTATAGGTCAAAAATTAGTCCTAAGTAAAATGGTTAACTCATAAGAAGCAGAGGTAAGAGGGTCATAAATCCAAGGCCAGCCTGGCCTACAAAGTGAGACCCTATCTCAGAGAGCATATATCTTACTAATGGACATGCTGCCTTTTGTGGAGCGTTATCTTAGATTGGCTCACAGTATATGGATTTCTTCTGGGATCAAACATGAGTAAATATATCTCTCTTGGATGGAAAATTTAACATGAACATATACAACTTCTTTACTATTTCTACAAATATTTTTTGCTTGCTAATTTCCCCATGAATATTTATTTTAGCCATATAGTTTTTTTAATAGAATAAAATTTTATTAAAATTATTTTTATTGTAGTTTAAACTGTTTCATAATCTATTCAGAAAGAAAGCCACTTCCCTTTAACCTGACAAGGTACAGTGAGAAGCTAATGACATCATATGACCATTTGTTTCTCCACTTATTTCAATGTTTTAACTTCTGACTCTGAAATGACCTATACCTCTCTACGAATTCTGTAACATTCTCATTAAATCATTTCTTATTTAACTGCATATAGTAAAACCTTAACATTATTAGCAACATAAAAGAAATGTAGGAAAATATATTAGTCTATTCCCTAATTGTACAGATAGTTGTGTGATTTTTAGGGTCACCTGTCACTTTGCACAGTTTGAATATGAGTAACACCTCATAAATTACCTTGCTTTAATTCATTCTTGCTCCACTCATCTCAATGTAAAACTGGAATTTAGATCCAACGTGAAAACTAGTTATGCAGAAAAATCTAATTCTCAAATAAATTTGGAGGAGAAAATATATCTTCTACTTATCTAAGACAACTTCATCTATAGTCACTTATAACATGAAGGTAAAAAATGGCTCATTTCTAGATAGACTTTGAGCTAAGGAACAATGAAGCTATGCCATGAAGACAGTATCTTAGGTGGTTCAAGGAATTCCATGGAGGTATTTTATGCACATCAATCAACCCCACAGAACAGAGCATCACCTTAGTTTTGTCAGGATTTAAGTGTTCAGATCTGAAGAAACTGACATCTGTCTCTAGTAGGAATCAATTTACATCTAAAATCCATCCTCTCCTGTAACCTTCTTTATGAAAAAAAATGTATTAGATTTATTCATTTTTTATATGAGTGTCTTGCCTGAATGTATATATGTGTACCACATGTGATTAGTGTCCATGGAGGTCAGAAGAGGGTATTAGGTGCCCTGGAACTGGAGTTACAGATGGTTGTGAACCACCACATGGGTGCTGGGGATCAAACCTCAGTTCTCTGGAAGAACAAGTGCTCTTAACCACTAAGCCACCTCTCCAGCCCTTCTATAGATCTCTTAATACCTGTTACAATTAAGTTTAAACTGAGTCTATGACTCTAAATCCCCTGGGGAGCACTGAAATGTCCTGATAACACAAGCCATACCCCAGTGTGATTAATTGGGCCTTCTGTGGGTAAGACACCTGGGGCCAGGATCCAAGATGGTTAGCACCACCATCTCAGGTGATTGCAGTGTGCAGCTGAGGTTCAGATCTGTACTCAGGGGCTGTGTAGTGTGAATGTAATTGGCCACCATAAGTTCATAGGGAGTGACACTATTAGGAGGTGTGGCTTTGTTGGAGTGGGTAAGGCCTTGTTAGAGAAAGTGCGTCACTATGGGGGTGGGCTTTGAGGTTTCCTATGCTCAGGATACTGTCCAGTGTCTGAAACCACTTCCTGTTGCCTTCTGATGAAGATGTAGCCAGCACCATGTCTGCCAGCACTCCACCACCATGATGATGATGGACTGAACCTCTGAAACTGTAAGCTGCCACCCCAAATAAATGTTTTCCTTTATAAGAGTTGCTGTGGCCATGGTGTCTCTTCACAGCAACAGAAAGAACACTAACTAAGACAGGTGTCTACCTGTACTCAGATACTCACGGATTTCACTCTTCCTAGAAGATCCTAGAGCTATGACTAGGGCACTCCTCTGACTGGGAGCAGTGTGATGGCTATTCTTGGTTGTCAACTTGACTTATCTGGAATTAAATAGAGAAGACAACTACGAGGGATTTTTTTTCTTAATTTGAAGTAGGTGGATTTACTTCTAAACCAGACATTTGCAGTAGGAAGGCAGATACCTTTAATCTGGATCTTGATGCGGGAAGATGCATGCCTTTCATCTGGATCTTGAAGCAGGAAGACATGCCTTTAATATGAGCCACAACTTCCTCTGGAAACCTATATAAGGACATGGAAGGAAACTTTTGTTCTTTGCCTGCTCGCTTTCACCTTACTAGCAAGTCCATTCCTTCACTGGCATTAATGACTACTTCTTCAGGATTCCAGTGTATACTGAAGACCAGCTGAGACATCTAGCCTTGTGGACTGAGCCTATAAGTCTTTCCAATAAATCCCCTTTCTATATATCTGCCGTGGATATCACTTTATATAAATAAAACACTGATGGCCAGTGACCAGGCAGGAAGTATAGGCGGGACAAAGAGAGAGGAGAATTGGGGAAACATGAAGAAGGAGAAAGAGACACTACAGCCACTGCCAGGACAGGCAGCATGTAAAGATGCCGGTAAGCCACCAGCCATGTGGCAAGGTATAGATTTATAGAAATGGATTAATTTAAGATAAAAGAACAGTTAACAAGAAGCCTGTCACGGCCATACAGTTTGTAAGCAATATAAGTCTCTGTTTACTTGGTTGAGTCTGAGCATCTGTGGGACTGAGAGAGATTTGTCCTGACTGTGGGCAAGGCAGGAAAACTCTAGCTACATATATCTATAGAGAGAGATTCATTCCCTAAGTTCAGTTACTCTAGAGAACTCTAATACAAACAGGTGGCCCCTCCTCCTCTTTGCAAGCCTTCCTTTTGCCTACCTTTATCTTTGCCATTTCTTCAACTCAAAAGGTCCGTGATGCTTGCTTGGGGTTTTTCTTCCTAGAAGACTTTACCAAAATCTTCATCCAAATGATGGCCCCAACCTCCCTTGGGAGTCTGCCACCTGCTCGGTGGGGCTTCCCTGGCAGCTTTATCTGAAACCACTCACCCCTGTGTTCAGCTCTCCTTGTAACTCACCTGCTTCGTCCTTCTGCATAGCATTTCATGCAACGATGTACAGCTAGTCTCCTAGTTTATTACCTGCTTCCTAGAAGAAGCGTTTATGTGTTTTGTTCACTGCTGTATCTACAATGGCTAGACTGCCTGGTGCAAGAAGGATGCAGTCAGTCTCCATACACCACAGGCACCACATATTGGATCCAACCAACTGCAGACTGAACATTCTGGAAGGAAAAAAAAAATCTCACTTTGTCCTGACCATGTACAGACTTTTTCTTGTCAATAACCCCTAAACAATGTAATAAGTGTTAATGTTCTATTTGGTACTGTAAGTTATCCAGAGATGACTTAATATACATGGTGAGACATGTGTGGGTTATATATAACTACTACACCATTTTATATAAGGAACTTGAGAAAAATCCACCGGACAGTCTAGAACAAATCTTCTATGTATAACAAGAAACAATTATTTTCATTTATTGAATTAATTGGCCCTAGAAGAATGGCTATCTTTCTTCTGATTGCACAAATGCATTTCATAAGGAAATGCATTTCCTTATGAAATGAATTTCCTTATGAAATATCATAAGGAAAATGAACCATGAGGCATGAAGCAGCCTGCTTGAGGAACATTGGTTGATAGGCAGCAGCAGAGGATTCAAGTTAGGACCCGGAGCCTGGGTAAGGAGTCACCCCTTGCTGTAGGCTGCCTTTCTTCATTGTTTTTATTTGAACACTTGTACACTAACTTTGTAAAGGGATGCTGAGTTCTGATGTATATAAAAAACTAAATACTGTGACATTGATGGGCTGATTCAATGGCCATTTGACCAGCTATGACAAGTTTATCTAAGTAATATGAACCTAAATTTAAATATATATAAACATCCAACCTAAGTGTCAAAGGGGTACAAAAGGTTCTGAGAGTATGCTCAGTGCACCCCTGGACTGACAGACAAGGTGTGTGGGGAGTGGAGATGGTATGACTCAATTACAGATGCCAATTAAAAGAATTTTTGTTGCAATTTTTCAATTAATTACTGATTATGTTGATATTGAAGTATTTATGGCTTCCTGATTTCCAAAAGAAGAAAATAATTTTTGCTCACCTGAAGTAAACACTAATGCATTCAGCCTTTTTGAATTCAATATTTGAAAGAATGATAACTTTGATAAAATATTTTATACCAAATTGATGAACTCGTCTTACGTATAAAAGGTATAATATGCAGTTTATTAAACACCATAAGTAATATAACAGAGGTTTTATATCATATGCCTAAAAGTTCAATGTGATAGACAAATTTCTGAAGTTCAGCAGTAGGAAAATGAACATTTGGGGTCACGGAAAAATGAACTGAATGTCAGTAGAATTTGGCATTTATAATAGATAGAACTTGAATCCCACTTTCAAAGTGAAAAACTGTCAGTTCTGCAGATTGTCATAGTTTGGACAACCTGAATGCCAGAGGTTTGGACGCTGTCCCAGAGAAGGGTAATTGGCATAGTGCAGCACACTGGTGAATTGCTCCTCCACACAGTTCAAGTGTCCATAATAAAGAAGAAACAAAATTCAGCTTCAATACCTGCTCAAAGGGAAGAAAACATTTGGGATAGCAACATAAGAGTGGACATTCCCTTTCATTACATGAAATAGTCTTTGACCAATGACAAAATTTCAATCCTTAGGTTTGGCCACTGAAAAAGAAAGTAATTCTCAAGTGTGGCTCAATGCTCTACTGTGGAATCAATCACATGGTAGAGCTTTGCCACTTGCAAGTGAAAAGGAGAAGAAAGGCAAAGAAAAGTTATTCTAAAGTTTTAAAAAAGCAGGACTATAAAAAGAATGGTCTCTGGTAACAGGGATGCCTGTAGCTGGGGGAAAGCGTACCATGTCCTTCTGTATGTAATTTTAAATGACGATAAATAGTCCAATGAGGTACTTTTTTGTTGTTGTTGTTTTGTTGAGACAGGGTTTCTCTGTGTGGCTTTGCTCCTTTCCTGGAACTCACTTGGTAGCCCAGGCCGGCCTTGAACTCACAGAGATCCGCCTGGCTCTGCCTCGATGGGATTAAAGGCGTGCACCACCACCACCACCACCACCACCACCACCACCACCACCACCACCACCACCACCACCACCCAGCCCAATAATATATATATATATATAATTGGTTTTTCGAGACAGGGTTTCTCTGTGTAGCTTTGCGCCTTTCCTGGAACTCACTTGGTAGCCCAGGCTGGCCTCGAACTCACAAAGATCCGCCTGTCTCTGCCTCCCGAGTGCTGGGATTAAAGGCGTGCGCCACCACCGCCCGGCTGATTTTCTTGTTTATTTTTAAAAGCAACT